GAACTCCTTAATGACTTCTTTCATATTGTCAAATGAGTTCATAAAGTTGTCTACTTGTATGACACTATCCTCTTGTACTTTGAATACTGAGAATATGTTGGATTCAGCAGATAGAGCAGATTGAATGGGTAAGCTGCTAGAGTTTGATACTAAGGCTTCTACAATTGTAGACTCTAGCATTAGTGTTTTATTAATGTCTTTAATGAATACTGTTTTGTTATTGTCTCTAATGAATACTACTGTATTAAGTACAGGTTGAGACAACATAGTAGTAGTAGTAGAAGTAGTAACTGTTTACCTATGCTTTTTCTTTCAAGCTTTAGTTGTTTTGCTTGTTAGGGGATTTTAGCAGTCTTTTAACATATGTCTGTACTTATTACAATTGTAGCATTTAACTTTATTATAAGGCTTTGTTTTACCTTTAGCTACACTTTTGCCTTTTGTTTGCAGACTGTCTTGTTCAGTATCTTGTTTTGTTTGAGAGTACTGAGAATGATACTTAGTATATGTGTTTCACAATTTGTGTATTAACTTAGCTAGTATCAGAATGTCTTTCTGAGCTACTGTAACTGTTAGTAGTTGATTATAATAGGTAATCTGCCTGTCTAGCATTGTTACTACCCATCTATACTCACAAGGAGTAGTAAGGTTAATTGCTGAGATATATATATTGTTATTAAGGGCTTTATTATGTATAGACAACTGCCTGTAGATTTGTTTAATGTTGTCTAATGTCTTATCAAACTGTAATACATACCCTTTTACTGTAAACAATGTAGATATGTCTACAGTATGTGTCATTGTTGTTTAAACATTGTATTGTTTAGAAAGCACCTTTATAAGACTTCTAACACTTGTATACATTGTGAAGTTTGTATAAATTGTATCAGTTATTGTTTTCATTATACAATAATACAAAATGTTGCCTGTATGTATACTAGTATCATTAGAGGAAGGGGGATCATACTCAAGATGGTCTGAGAGTATTATAACAGTGAGTGTACTGTGTATGTGTAAGTACTATATCTTGTATCCCTTTATACTAGCTAACTTTTCTGTTCCCTTAAAGAACTTTATAATGTTAGAGTCCTTCATTATAGTATTAACAAAGGTATGTGTTATAGACAACATTGTAATAGGTTTAGGGGGAGAGGGAGGTCTAGGGCTTGGTGTGCTAGTAGGAGGCAAAGGCATTCTGTAAGAGTGAGTACATAAGGGTATTTAATAGGTACTAAGGCTTATAACCTTTTAACAAGTGTAGTAGGAGTACCTCCAAACTCTCTCTTATTAAGACATTAAGCAAGTATCTGCCTTATATACTACTTAGTAAAGTCTGATAGTCTAAGACATTCTAAGTATAGTAACTCTACATAAAGCAATTAGGGATTTCCTAATCCAGAACACAATCTAATACATTCTAACAATACAAATTTGTATACCTTGTCAATACTGAAGTAATAGATAATCTTAAACTGTAAAACTTAAACAAAGTAAAGAGTTTGCCTGAGTAGAACTTGTAGAGGCATACTATTAAGGAAGAACTCAAAGTATTAAGACAAGCAAACACTTGAGAGTTAGAGTATACACCTGAGAGAGCCAATGTTGTTGGATCAAAGTGGGTCTTCAAGATTAAGAGAGATACAGGTAGTAACATTATTTGTTAAAAAGTAAGGCTAGTTGCTTAAGGATTCAGTCAAGTCCCTAGGGTTGATTATTTTAACACATACACACTAGTAGCTTGCCTAGCATCCATCTGTACTATACTAGTATTGACTGTGAGACATGATTTTGAGATTGAACAGATAGACATAAAGAGCACATACTTTAATAGTGAATTGGATAATGATAAGGTAGTGTACATAAAACATTCTCTTAGATTCACACCTTTGAATGTAAATAGTTGTGTACTAAAATTGAAGAAAACTCTCTATAGACTAAAGCAGTTAGGGAGGAAGTGGTACAAGAAGCTGAGTTGGATACTAGTTGACAAACTAGGGTATTCAAAATGTTCTGTAGATCAAGCTGTGTTCTACAAGAGAGTATATTTGAATTTCACAATCATAGTAGTGTATGTTAACAATTGTATGATTGTGTCCTCCTCAACAAACCTTGTTGAGAGACTCAAGGAGGAAATGAAGAGATACATTGAAATTACTGACATAGGAGCTCTACATTGGCTTCTAAGTATTAAAATCTGCCAAAACTATGAAAAGCAAACCCTATCCTTGTCTCAGCATATATATATTGAGTCTATATTGTAAAGATTCAATCTATAGAATCTAAAACCTGTATCAACACTAATAGATCCTCATACACTCTACCATTCTGATTAGTAACTGAAGACAGTGTAAGAACATACAATAATGTGTAACATACTGTATCAAGAGGCTGTAGAGTTATTAATGTATGCTTCAGTTGCTACTTGTCCTAATATTACATTCATAGTAATACTACTTTCACACTTTGTATTGAACCCTAGACCTGTGCATTGGGAAGGAGTCAAACAAGTTTACTACTACCTCAAAGGGACAAAAAATCTATAACTTACTTATGGAAACCTCAACCTCTCACAAGCCAAAGATAGATTTGCTGTGTATACAGATGCAGATGGTTCTATGTAGGAAGACAGGCATACAATATTGGGGAACACCTTTCTTATTAATGGAGGGGCAGTATTGTAGTACTTGAAGTGTTAAGAAATTGTTTCCCTTTCTACAATAGAGAGCAAATATGTAGAGCTACTCACACAGCAAAAGAAGCCTTATGGCTTCAACAACTCATTCACAAGGTGCTAGGTAACATTGAAGCTAACATCACACTGTATTTGGACAATCAATCTGCGATTGCACTCTTGCAAGACTAGCAATACCATTCAAGAATGAAACATATTAATGTATGCTACCATTTCTTACAATGGATTGTTGAAAGACAACGGATTCGTCTTTCATACTGTCACACAACTCATATGTTAGCTGACCTTTTGACAAAGCCACTTCTGTCATTCAAGGTCAAGCATTTTGCTTGCAAACTTGGACTCTGCACAAATTGAGGGGGAGTGTTGTATTTGCAATGTGTGCAGATTGTAGGATCGACATCAAAGCACAAAGTGCTTCAATATGTCGATCTGCATCATTCTAATCAATAGGTTAATCATTCCGTATTCTATCCTATTTATTCCCCTTTCATATGTCTGTAGCCTTTCATATGATAGTTATTTTTCATATTTAAACTTTCCCCTGTATCATTTACACCTCAGACGATTGTAACTTGTGTCTGAGGTATGTGCTGTATTTATTATTGTCTCTGTACTACTATATTTACTATTATTATTATTGTAGCTATTACAATAGGTATACTAATAAATTATAGACGATTGTAACTTGCGTCTGAGCTATTACAATACAAGGGTGGTGGTGCAAGGACTGGTTCATGACTGTGTTTTATGCCAAATCGGGAGATGATACTAGGTCAAATAAATTGAGCATGTACAAAAATATGTATAAGTTGCTCTCGAAGAGCAGAAAACTCCCAAAGATTCCCAACCGTAGTAGACGCAGAGTAGTCTGAATTGAGTTGCATCAGAACAGCAAAATGTTACTGACGTGTCGCAAATTGCACTAAAGGGCAAGTCATCTCATCTTGTTGTCTCTCTCTGCAACCTGCCAGAACATATCCTATCTGCACAGCCGTGCTTGCTCATCTGCAATCTTACTTTCCATAAGTTGGATCTGCTGCATGTCATTGAAACGACGGCTCATTAATCAGCACACTCGCAGTATGCTATTCAGACTCATATGGTTGAAACTAAGCGTGCAGACTAGCGGTACACGCATACGAAAACGCAGTGAAAATACACCTTATCTTCTAAAATTTTCCTATACACAATGCAATAGAAGACCCTCCCTCATGGGATAAAGACCAACGGACACCGTGCAGGCAGCAAGAGACCGACTAACAGAGAAGAACGACCCACCCAGTCATTGCCAGTGCTACGCGTCTCAGAGCAATCAACTGTCTTCCTCGCGCCCATGGGAATGGGGTCTTCGGTAAAGCCCTGCCAACAGGCTCGAAAGCCTGAGTCAGGGCTCAAGGGGATCGCTTGATGTGCTGGTACGCAGCGCGGTGCAATGGTGTCCGGACTCATCTGGAGTCAATTGCCCGGAATTAGAATACTCAGACCTCGGCCGCCTTGCGAGGAGAGGCGAACAATAAATAATGCATTGTCACCCTGTGTATTATGATGACGAGCACTGCAACCTTGGATCTGCTACATGCTGGAGAGGGAAAGAGTTAAAGCGTGTTTTCAGAGTTATATATAGTATGTAGTTTATAACTCCCACGAAAATGATTACAACAATCGCATAATAACTTTATTTAATTGTGTCCAAAGCATTGACTAGAAATTGTCCGTCCAATTATCTCCGAATCTAACCACCCTTTCACAAGCACCGTTAATTACAAGGCAGGACAGTCTACAATGCTGGCACTCTGCATGTCTTACGGAAAGACAATCTACCCGTGGGTCATATGCCCATATACATTTATCTGGACTTGCCGTTAGACCGTCTACAACTTATGTTATGATGTCGTATATTTGTCTCACCGACCTTATTCCTACCCTTTTCTTAACTTTTCTTGTCCTTCGTCAACAGCTATAAAGGCGATGGACAGCTTGATCCGTAATGGATCAAGGCTAGGGACGAGATACAGCACCTTGCACGTTCCAAGCATAAGGAATTAAGAGAGCCCGACGAGAAGTACGGTATGCCAACAGAAGGAAGCTCCGTACAGGCTGTTTAACGCCATATGAGAAGGCTCAGGACTCCAGTGCTCGGGAGACTACAGGCACATATGTTGCCTTCGAACCCGTTGAAGGGAATGTCAGTGGATCTGCTTGATAATTAACAAGTAATAGGATAAATATGGAATACGAACAACGGAAGGCTCAACAATATCGATTCGCCTTTAAGTAATTGAGAAATACAGGACTTGTATTGGAGGTTTATGATATTTGTTATCAGGGCGAATGTCACCACATCTCGCAATCAAAATAGGGCACCAAAGACAAACCGCATTTTCATTTGTTTACGGCATTCTTTGATAAAGCCGTACTACTATTATGGAATGTCGGCCATTGCATTTGACCTCAAATTGCTGCTCGATATCCAAAGCTGCGATAATCCCATGACACGTCTAGTGCATTGATCCAATACTCCCACATGCGTATCACCTTATCTGCCCTCCCTGAAATACCGAAATAATGTGCATATGCATATTTGTCCAGGTTCGGATTATTCGAACTTGTCTCGAACAAAACGTCGCGATCGCGTGAAATGAATATCCAGGAAGTTTCCTTGGGACCATCCTGATCCGAACGGTAGCCAGGTATGTCTGGATAAATCCGGTCGTACTGAGAGGCACCCAAGTCTGGGTCGACGTCCCCAAGAGCACAGAATTTGCGAAATTGATCATGACTTCCGAAATATACCCTGTAAATTACAGGACATCAACAAGGATGGGAGGCATAATATCTGGAAGTATACCTTTTCCCACCCCATGCTGCCCAGTAAGGGCCGACAGCCGACAAGTCGAGGCTCACTGTCTTGCCCCGATAACGTTTTTTTTTATATTCCATAGTGCACAAATACTCCTAACTAATTGATTAGCTACGTATCATTTTCGGTGACTGTGAAGGGAAAGCGAACTTCTTTTATCTGTTTAGAGACAATACGACGGAAAATATCGTCCAGGAACTTGTTAACATAGCGGAGGCGCTTTTGTTGCTTCTCAGTCGCCTGTTCCATGATTATTGGCCAAAGAACACCATATAAGGAGCTGGTAGGAGAAAGTGCCTCGACGAGTCGTGCAGTTAGAGAGAATTCTTGGCTGCCAAAGTCTGACACCAGCTCATGCATGGTATACATTGCTGTGGTTAACAGTTGGTGAAGGAATGAAGCTCGAGTTGAAGTTGAAATAGACTGTGGACAGCAATCGGCTATTGTTGCGTTTATACGTGGCTTCCTGCTTTGACCTTTCGGAGACACATACCTGTGGCTCGTCCTCCAGCAATGGGCAAGCGTGTCGGTCCACAAACAAAACCAAACCTCACGCGTGTGCACAGTACGAAGAAAAGTAAGACTGTCAATCGCTCGTAACGTAACGTAAGGTATCGTAAGGTATCGTAACGTACGCTGATTTGTGCACTTCTCGATGCGCCTAGGCGTCTCAAGCTGGGCGTTTGAGTGTTTCAAGGAAAGGAAATGTCAAGCCTTGGTGTGCGAGGTAAAATCACATGTTGACCAAATAAAGTAATCAGTCTGTATGCGCGAATCAGGTCGCAAATTATTCCTCACGCTTTTCAGTGTCTTACTTACCATTCTTGATTTTACACTTGTACAGTACAAGCATCTTATTCTGTAACTTATACACCCCAGCACGAGAATAATCTCATTACGGGTATTTCAATCAATTTCATGCTGAAGAAGCAAGCCGTCTCGGATGTTCATGTAGGGTAAGACTTGTTCAAGCTCTTCTACTGCGACTCTTCCTCTGACAACAATTTCTTCGCAAGCAATTGCAGTATAACGACGAATCTGCAAAGCATATCATATACTACATATACAATTGTATTATCCTTGAACTTCAAAGTAATGGAGATATCTGATCGTTTGACCACCGAGCACAAGCCTTGCAGGATTTTTGACTGGCAGGGTCATACAGCGAGCAAATCATGATTACACTTGCTAATAATCCCGAACTTCGAGGAGGGAAGTCTAATTTAGGCTCTCCCTGCACTTATTGTACCTTATCTCAGCTTTGTTGTTTATGATATGTCCATGTGGATCGACGATTTTTGTTAGTTTACAAAAGCACTACCAGTGTGTGGGCTTCCCGCGGCGATTCCTTTCTTAGCAACTATCAACAGAAGGTACGATTATTACTTGCATTGTATCCTCCAGGCAAAGAGGTTCGGCTGATTTGCGTGGCCCGTTACCGAGTGGAGTTTTATGAAGAGGTCAGAAAACTGCATGGTATCTCCTCTTTCGAGTCTTTATATTACACGATCCTACCTAACATTTTCTCGTCTTAGCCGCAAACTCTATAACACTTCCCCGCCTCTGCCCGCGTACCCAATTCTTTCACCATCGTGGCGTTGCCCACTCAGGAGCACCATAAACCTCACATGAGCATTAATCTCCATACAAACAATAACGTGCAACAAGACCAGCGAAAGTTACAGCACTAGGGGTTGCTTCCTGCGATTAACATCGGACCTCCTCCCTGTCTTCTCATCTAATCATTCATACATCACCCACGCTAAGGTGTGCTGCCGCTCATTCTCTTCCTTTGCTATTGTCAAAAAAGTAGCAAGATGTATGTATTCATACAGCAGTTTCCAAGTCTGGTATCGCCCTAGAAGCCCGAGAAGTCAATTTTGACTTTGCATGGTAATTGTCAAACGTCAACAATTAGTGTACAAGGCTTCTGCAAGATAATTTTTTCTTAGCATATGCTAAAACATTGCAATTAAATATCGGTCGAGACACAATGTCGCAGGAGGCAAGAGTCAAGAGAAAAAGATTTTAAAGTGCTGTCGTAATTTTTTGGATTACAAAGTACACGTTTTATACAAAAGTATCGTAAGGGACGTATTTCGCAAGTCGGAAGCAAATGACCAAACAACACAATCCGCTAGAACCAACTGAACCAACTCCATTAACGAAGCAACGGCCATGGACGTGTCATGTCGGTCATTCTCGGACGGCGGCGTGCACGTCATAAAAATTCATTATAAGTCCGTCAAGAAAGCCGAAACCCAAAAAGGAGAGGAAGGATGTTCCGCCCTTTAAGTTGATGGAACGGAATAGGATGGGGATGAGAGAAAGTTGTAAGAAAATGTAAAGGTGAAAAGGCCAAGTAACGGAGTGGGAGGTAGGGATAAAAATGGATTCGGGAAGATAAGAAAAGAAGTCGATCATTGCGGTGTATAACAATATCATCATGCAGAGTAAGAGATGAAAATACGAGAGAAATTGATACAGACAAAACGGAAAATAAAGAAATGTCGGGGAAATATACAAGAACGGAACAGTCGACAGAAGACAATCTTGAACTGAGAGGAGAAGAGCACAAAGCGTCCCGGAACTCGGACTCAGACCTGGGAACTCGATCGCCAAACGTAGCCAGACGTTCAGCAACGCCGGTCATCCTCGCCTTTGCCTCATTGGGACGATTTCGACGCGTAGCTAATTTGCACCCTTCTCCAAATAGATGACCTGGCCTGATTTACGTAGTGCATCTGCCGTCTCGGGCGTGTATGGCAGGATGTGCGGTGCTGGAACGGATTTTCGACCGCGTAAAGGTCCTGCGAGTACAAACACCTGAGGATTCGGATCGCTTCGTTTGCTCTACAATTGAGACCGTTTGATGAGTACGAATACCGGAACCCAGACAAGATAACGGGGTGAAGAGCGTACCATAACAATAGCAGGTGACCATGAGGGCGTCACTCCCGATCCGGTCAGATTCGGCACGTTGACGCATGCAAACACTTTTTTCTGTGCAACGGAATAAAACATGTTAGAAACGCAACGAATGAAAGCCTCATTCTGAAAGTATTGTGTTACTACTGACCATGTCCGTAACTCTATCCATCATATCCTGCGCACTGTCTGATGGGCAGAAATGCCGTCCATCTCTCAGCTCGCCGACAAACGGAATGTACGTCTCAATCCACGGATGCGGGTAGGAAGTCTGCACATCATACAAATCCACCTCCATACCGACGTGGAAGCGCTCAACACGGTGACCGACAACGACGCCCGGGATCCACGGCATCCATTCTCGTGCCCGCATATTAAAACGCCGCACTTCGACCGAGGAACCCAACGGGATAGCCCGCCCTTGTGTGGAGCCCACGGCGCCTGGAAGAACGCGCGGCGTCGTACCAGGAGGAGGCAACATGCGAGATGGGAAATGCGAAACCGGTGTGAGGAGTTGGGAGTGTCGGTTCTCAGGGTGGGTTCCGAGCGCCGGGCCCGACACATGCGTAGCTGTTTGGTAGACTTGCATTGTAGTATGTTAAGTTAACCGGGAAAAGATGAACTGGTCTGAGCAAAGAGACGAGAACGATTTGACAGGCTTCTACTAATTGTGCAAGGCCCCTATGTGGCGCACAAGAGAGGTCTAGAAGAGAGGGCGAAACGACGAGGGAGAGAATTGCGGGGACTCCAGAATGCGCCAGTTGCCTGCAATATATACAAGAGTTGGGAGCTTCTCCCCGATTGTCTTTTCATCAAGAAATGAGTCCCAATTGACGCTACTCTGCATAATTGATTCCGTTGGGCTTCTTGCGCCGTGTCATCTTGCGTTGCCAATTGAATAAAGTTTGCTTCAGCCCTTTGGCATGCAGCATTGTCATTGTTCCGTAGAGTATCACCGGACACGGAAGTGCCAAAGGGCCCAGAAGGAGGGCGCAGATATGATCGGACAAAAGTGCCACATAGCCGAATCCGGATGCGAAGTTGACTGGAGGCAAATTGAACTGGCCATGCTCTACCCGCGGTAGGCTTGCTCAGTAGATAATAGCACGGTAGACGCACAGATACTAGGCGGCAGTGTCGAACAAAAGACAAAAGGGCTGGGGTTCGCTATGCCTATAGGATACACTATGAAGCGTACGGCCTCGTGCCTACATTTCCGAAGACCAATTGTTATTGTTTGATCAGAAGCCCGTAGCCGTGGTTTTTGTGCAAATAAACAGCTTGCTACCACATCGTGTGACTCTGAAGGTGAGTCTGAAACGCTTTTCGTGAATAAGTAGTGCCTATTTGTCTTGATCGAGTGCATTGCAGTGGACAGAAGTCACAGAACTGCCCCGCAGCCGACGGTGAGTTTGAACGCGCGTAACCAGGAGAAGATGTGTTCCTTTCATTGTGGTTCCCTTTCATGGTAAAGATTACTCATCCGACCCGAATTTTTAGTCCCGTGACTCACCCTTCGCTTGAGGCGGATCTCTGATTGCAAATCTGTTTGTCCACCTGGGGTCACAATCCGGCACTAAATTCCCCTTGGATCCTGAACTTTGACCAAAACCCCTGTGGTCTGGGAATTTCCAATTAATGACTCGCTCAGAACGACTTTACTGTGTCATCTGTAGGAACGGTTCCGTGAGTATGGACAGCTTCAACTGAAGTCCCAAATATTCAGACTTCACAAGAGCTAACAAAGACAAAAAGCTTCCGCGCCGACATATGTAATAATGTAACCATGTGCAGGAACACCATCGATTCTGCTTCTCTTCCCACTCTCAACTGCGCGGGCATCAAAAGGGCCAAGCACAGCTCCTCGGGCAAACAATATGGAAGTATTTGATTTTCCTACAATTATTATTAACAGTCTTCCTCTTCATTCTATCTAGCGTCTCCGTAGACCGATGCTTGAGAAACTATGAAATCAAGGCGCCTATGCTCTCCTTAGCGATTACGAAAATTTGACCACATAGGGGCTCCTTGCCACGAAGGCGATGTACTCCCACGACGAGACGCTCGGAAAGGTAATCATAGCTATTTTAAGCGTCCTCTCTTCGCAAGTTAGCAACATCCTTAAATACTATAGACGCCCCGTCTACTCATTGCATGACTCGTGTATCAAAAACTAGATAGGCTTCGGTGCTTGAGTGTACGATTTTAGGGTTTATTACTGTCTCGAGCGCTCTGTCGGCTTGGGCCCCTGGAGTCATATAGAAGATGCAATTTCACGGCGGGACGCCTAGAACAATAACGTTTGCTTAATGTACGTTCTGCTTCGAAACGTATTGCAGCGCCGACAGAAGATAAATGGAAATTACTGTCCCCGACACTCTGGGCAGCAGGAAGTCGAAATGTCAAAATACTGATGACAAGGACAGAAGACCTTGTCGAAGACAAAAACAGTATGCGTGTGCACTAAATATGCAAGGACTCTTGTTCACGAAAACGTCTCATTCACGGCTTGACTTAGTATCCATGCAAGATTTGCTCAGCATTTCAACTTCTCCTGTCTTCCGTGGCGTCGTGTCGGAAATAATTCCGTGATGTGCAGATGCATAACATTTCTACACTACGCCTACTGTCCATCTAAGTGTTAACTCACTGCACCCAGCCATTCAGGATCACAGATCTAATATAAAGATCCATCGTTGAGCAATTTACAGTTCCGGAACTTTCAATCCTCGAACTCTGTCCATCATACCATACATATGTATAATGAGTCCTTACTTAGTCAATGTTGAACGCTATTCCAGAATGTTGTCTGTTCGTTAGGTCCGTCGAAGCGTACTAGCTGACTAGCTAGCTTAGTTTCAGGGTGTTAGGCAGGTGAAGCGAACTTCTGTCCCGGGTTCATCATGTGAATATAGCAGTGCATCTATGTATTGTATAGTACATGTTTTGTATACAAGAAAACATGGTGTAGAGCTAAATTGTCGTACGAGAATGCAAACCAGGTAACGCCGAAGGGAGAACGGAATGGGATAAATATCTCGTTAAGGGGAGAAGCAAGGGGAGGTGGAAGGTGCTTTGTGGCGTCACCTAACAAACCTCAAACAGACGTCATGCAAACCACAACCGGAAAACAATCGGAAATCGGTAACCGGCGTTCCTTAATGCCCGCGCTCCGACAACCATCGTACGATGATGTCGCTGAGAAGTAGGAGTAGGAGTAGAACGAAACACGAGGAACGGAGAGTGCACATTATTACCATTAGGAGGACGCACAGAAGCGCAGAGCCATCCCAATTTGGTAATGTTTACATTTTTCCGGGTTTGTTTTGCACATGTACATGTGGGCGGCGTCGGAACATGAGGTTTGTTTAGCATCCCATAAGACCAGCCAAGGATGTCGGGCGGGCCGGATCAAAATAGTAGAGTAGACAAAGATCCCACCAAGAGAATGGGTGAGATAGATTTGCGTTGCGTATAGGGGAGGTAGATCCGTCATTCATCCGTGAAAGCCGAATCCGTGTGCCGGAGACAATTTTTTGTGTTTATTTTGTTGGGTTTGTGGAGTGTGAGGAATGTAATGCCATCCGGGAGCAATTTTTTTCGGTATTCAAATGTCAAGAGGAGAATGAACGAGAACCAGTGAGCCGAAGTTGAGAATATATGGAAAGATGAATGGGTTATACGCACATGTTGTGTTGCTCTTTCATCGAACACTATAGAACAGACAGTATACGTCGGATTTAGTTTCTAGCGACGAAAGTGGTAAAATAACGGATAAATATACATACAGAATAACACTGTCAACAAAGTTAAATTTCTCCCATCAGAATACAAGAGAACTGGAGCTGAGAAAAGAGTATTACACTCACGGAAACTGTTCGTCCTTGTATTTTGTCTAATTGCCTGTTCGTTTTTGCATCATTCATCAGCATTTGTCACAATTGTATTATTGGCGCAGCTGCAGCGCGGCCGTGACGACCGCGGACAAGCACGCGAAACAAGAACAGGAACGCGACGCACAAAGCTTCAATGAGCTCTTCAACTTGAGCCGGCATGAGGTCGACGAGGTCGCACTTGTTTCCGAGCTGCGGAACGGACATGACAAAGTCATCGTGAGAAATCCAGTGGCGTATGTTCAAGAGTGATGGAGTGGGCGGTGCTGGTAAGTTAGCAGAGCTGAACGAAAGAAGAGAGTGGGGCAGGAACGTACCACGAGGAGAGGCACGCCCGTGAGTTGGGGACTCGCAAGGAGAGAATGTAGCTCGAACCGCGCCGACTCAAACTTGTCCCTCTATGGATTCAGGTGCAAAGAGGCGCAGTCAGTAACATTTCACGGAACAAATGGAAGGTACCCGGCGGAAGGAAATAAGCGGAGGGGGTTGCTTACATCTGCTGAGTCTACGACGAAACTAGTTTGCATTCCAAGGGTTAGACGGAGTCAGGTTCAGGTCAGCCAGAAAAGGGAAGCGGGGTTGCGAGACACGCGTACTACTGACACGATAGCGTCGTTGCCCTTGCAGTACCGCTCCCACATCGAGCGAAACTTCGGCTGCCCTGTGATGCAACAACAATAGGTTACGGTTAGCGTTCATGTGTGGCCAAGCACCCTGGACATGGCCATGTACCTGCAACGTCCCATATTCGCATCGTCACGTTGCCTTTGCGGACCTTGCGCAGGTTGAAGGCGACCGTCGGTATCGAATCCTCCGCCCACTGCACATGAGAATAAGATTAATTGTTGAGCAGTGCATAGAGTAGGCTGTGCGGACACACCTGGCCTTGGACGAGAAGGTTGACGAACGACGTCTTTCCCGAGGCCTGATAACATGATACGCACTCAGCGAGCGCAACGTCACAATTGAGCATCGGACACACCTGGAGACCGACGACACAGATTTCGGCATTTTTTGAGAAGAAAAGACCTGCGAACCACTGGAAGATGCTAGTGAAGAAGGACATGAGGTCAACTCGGTTCGGATTACGGAACAGCCGCAGCCTCCGCGACTGACATTACACTTTCCACATTCGGCAAATTTGATGGACCATCAATGTTGCTTTTTTGGAGCCAAAGACAGCGTTCGAAAGTTAAACATAGCTCCGTCTTTATCCCTAATATCTATAAAAAATGGTTTTATATCTTGTCAGAATTGGATTTTATTTAGTTTCTTCGTAACTAAGAAGCCTAAACAGTACTGGCCCATACAAAAGATTGTACCAACTTGTATGTTGCAGATGTGATTAACATCGATATATTATTTTATGCTACCCTTAATGATATTCTACTAAATTTCACATATTATATGGATCTGCAAATAATTAGCAAATCCAAGTACACATTTTAAATGGGCTGGAAGTGTATTGAACGCAGGACAAAAAGTGTTCTTGTCAACTTGACTTAAAAAAGCGAGATTGACTTCAGTCACGTGATTCTCTGACTATTTATAAGTTCGGGTCCAGCGTGTTCTTTCTTTATCGCGTAGAGCATTGACAGCCACAACATTCTGAATTATATCAAAGGGACTTGCTACAATGACACTGTTCTCTGTTTCCCCACTGACCAAGGAATACACATGTGGCACAGTTTGTATGATTCATGTTGCTTAAGGAACATATCATTGTATCTATTCATCCATACACTAGTAACACATCATGGTATGATATGCAATCGTACTTCATGTCACATGCTGATATCTCTTCTGCAGCAGACCTCTGATTGGACAATAAAATTATATTCTACAATATACTCGTCATACTCGTCATGAATTTGCCTGCCGTGATAGGAGGATGTCGGGATGCAGCCGTGGACAGAGCCCCCAAGCCGACCACATTTTTATAGCATCCGCCCGTCATGGTCCGTCTGCAGCGAATAGGACTCATTACAGAACTTCCAAAGGCAGGAGTGTTTAGAACTTATAAGGAACTTAAATGACAAGGAAGGGTCGGGACGAGTCGCGTCTCAAGTGAGACAAACCGGTGAGTAAAAATAGCCCTCTAGCCGAACCGAATATTAATGCAAAATATAATATTCCCGATTTCCACCTTGCCTCTTCAACTCCCCTCCCATCGGCCCTTCATCTGGACAACCCTTGCACATAATGTCCATTCAAAAAATCCACGCTCGTCAGGTAGGTGCCCACATATTTCTCCGGGGATATCCTCGCTAGCGCATATAGTAACTGGCACTGAGCGCCAGCCATTCATGTTTCATAGATTTTCGACTCGCGTGGTAATCCAACCGTTGAGGTTGATCTTTTCACCGCAAAAGGTATGCGACTAAATCACTGTATGTATCACAGAAACATATTTTGCGATCATGTAGGTTTGTTCAGGGCGTCTGTGCCATCTGGTGCGTCAACTGGTGTGCATGAAGCTGTTGAGCTGCGCGATGGCGACAAAGCCAATTATCTCGGGAAAGGTGCGGCCTGAACTTTTCAACTTCCGCAGGGTGTGTGATTTACTGTCGAATACGCATTCTCAAGGAGTCTCTAAGGCAATTGCGAACGTGAATGATGTGATCGCTCCCGCATTGATCAAGGCGGGCTTGAACGTGACGCAGCAACAGGAAATCGACAACTTCCTCATCAAATTGGACGGTACTCCGAATAAAGGCAAGCTCGGTGCGAATGCGATCCTCGGTGTCTCTACAGCGGCCGCATACGCTGCAGCGGCAGAGAAAGGTGTACCGCTGTACGAGCACCTTGCTGAGCTCGCAGGCATAAAACCGCCATTCGTACTTCCAACTCCGGCGTTTAATGTTATCAATGGTGGTAAACATGCAGGGAATAAACTTGCATTCCAGGAGTTTATGCTGCTTCCTACTGGCGCTAGCTCGTTCACCGAAGCGATGAAGTTTGGTACAGAGACATACCACACCCTCAAGAAGGTTATAAGCGCTAAGTACGGCATCGATGGTTCGTGCAGCGCGATTCTCTTCCCATCGTTCAGCATTTCAAGTAACGTTTCTTTAAACTAGCTGTGAATGTCGGAGACGAAGGTGGATTCGCTCCGAATGTGAGCAATGCAGATGAGGCCCTTCAACTTCTTGTGGAAGCTATTAAGCAAGCTGGTTATGAGGGTAAGATTAAGATCGGGATCGATCCTGCTTCGTCCGAGTTCTTCAAGGAGGGCAAATACGATCTTGACTTCAAGAACCCTAACTCGGACCCTACGAAGTGGCTCACCGGAACGGACCTCGGCAAACTATACAACGGCTACGTCCAGAAATACCCAATCGTGTTGCTCGAGGATCCGTTTGACCAGGATGACTGGGATACGTGGGCCGAGTTTACCAAGACTACTACCATTGAGATTGTCGGTGATGATTTGCTGGTGACTAACCCGCTCCGCATCAAAACGGCTATTGAACAGAAGTCATGCAATGGTCTTCTCCTAAAGGTAATCTTCGTTTTTTTTTACTTTGCACCTTAAGGCAATACTCATAATGTTCCTTGACACCTAGATCAATCAAATCGGTACAATTTCGGAATCAATCCAAGCGTAAGCCGATCTAATACATGTTGGTAGGGTTTGTTCTTTAAAAACAGCGAACTACAGGGCTCAGCTTGCACAGTCTGATGGTTGGGGAGTCTTTGTCTCTCACCGCAGCGGTGAGACAGAGAACACGGTCATTGCAGACCTTGTCGTTGCGCTCGGCGTCGGTCATATTAAGACTGGTGCACCAGCGCGTTCTGAACGCGTAGCGAAGTACAACCAGATGCTCCGCATTGAGTGGGTACCATCTCAGTTGTTCTGACTTATATTTCGTATTCCTTCTGTCTAACCGGTTTTATTGCAAATGATAGGGAACAACTTGCCGGTAACTCGGTGTACGCTGGTGACAAGGCCTTCTCTGCGGGCCCGAACCCGCCTGCTCTCCTCAGGAAGTAAAGCCACTGGAGCTGGACTTGTACAAAAGGATCGGTTTTGAGCACATCTAATTTTGTGTTGATCTGGTTTACTCAGAGAAGAAGAATGAAAGCAAGTGAAGAATTTTGTAGACTAATACTGAAGAACATAGTGTTGTACCAATTCACAATGCTGAACAAAAATACAATGTATATCTCGTGTGAACTTGACATATATTACTTTGGAGAGGGGATTCGTATGCAACATGGCTCTATCTTCATCTTCTCATGCTCGGTAGACTCAAATTTCTCTTTGCCATTCTTGAATTATAGAAATGCATTTATTGAATTATTCCCTCCCTAAAATCAAAATAATGCAGTAGAAGCCGTGAGAAAGAAGTCGCGTCGGGTCAGTATGAAACGACAAGCGCGTCGTTCTTGGAGTGGCTCTCACTCCTTGCTCACCATGGTGAGCATATGTACAGCCTCCATTGAAGCAGAAGCTAACAATGCAACATGTAAGTAGTCAAAACCCAAAGCTGACGAGCTCAGTAAGCTCGAGTCGGCTGTACCTCGCGAAGATGACCTGAAGAAAGCAAGAACCGAAGCCAATCTTGACTGCGGTGGTACCACAGCAAGTGATAGTAAGCCTATTCTCTTCTGACACGTAAAAGCATCGCCTCAGCCCTGCGAAGGGCACTCCTCAGATGCGACGGCGGCAAGACAGTCCGAGAATGTTGAAATATCGGATATACAAGACCGCGCTCCAGTGGAGCAGTCCGAGACTCCGAAGGCAAGAAAGAGAACGAAATCATCGCGCAAGAAACACACTGCAAAGAAGCACAAGGACAGAAAATTCTGGATACTCGAAACACTCACGCACATGCCGTTTGACATCTTCTGTGAAGTGCGGTCTCCAAACGTTCTCTTTTTGCAGAAGCTTGCCACTGACTTGAACTCAGATCGCGAGTCACTTGAGTCCGCTAGACTTGCTGAACATGTCGCGCACATCCAAGCAACTCAGAGCATTCTTAACTTCAAAGGGCTCCAAGTCCATATGGCGTGTCGCTCGCGATGCCGTCAAGCTACCAGAGTGTCCTTCTGACATTAGCGAAGTGCAGTTTGCCGATTTACTCTTCTCCAAGGGCTGCAGTGTAAGTATCGTCTACTGTAGTAAAGCACTTGCATATCATTGACCATCTGCAGTTGTGTGATTCCCGTCGCACAATTGGACTGTACTTTCGACTTAGGATGCGGCTCTGCTCAAGTTGCAGCGACAACAAGTCAGTCGAGCTTCTTCGTCAACATCCAGTATTAATAAACTATCGCAAAAGTGTCGTATTAGGGTCTGAAATCGAGAAGGATTTCCAATGTGATGCAAATTTTCTAAACTTGCTACCAAGAGAGCGCCGTCATAGACGTGAGAGCATACCCAGCATCCGTCTTGGTCTCGTGTTGCTGATGTTCGCATAGCGGGTAGTTTACAGTGGTGTTTTGCTGTCAATGAAGCACGGACTGTCTGGAATCAATTACAATCACTGGCCGTCGAATCTGCCAAATATGCCGACTTTGTGGCAGAAAGAGAGCAGAAAGTGAAGGATATTCTGAAGGAATGTCGATACGTTTGCTTTGTTTACCAACAATGCACAAAATTTGATCCATCTTGTAATAGAACGCAGGCCTGGTTGAAAGATGGTGGCTCGAGCGAGCATCTCGTTGGGATAAAGAGGAGAAAAAGATCAAGGGCGAACGAGAACAAGCGTACGTATAATTGATACTTATTACCCTTTGTCATCTTCTGACTAACAGTCGGGCATAAGTGTGTTTAATAAGCTTAAGGAGATCGGCTACTCGCAGTCTGATTTTGATCTCAGCTCTGAGTCTGACACGCACTACATGCGGAGAAGGTGGGAATCGCTTGTCCAGGGCAAGGGGAAGAGACTTTTGACAGAGCGCAGTCAGTATATTATGCGGCCCAGTGCCGGCTTATACGTATTTACGATTTCATCACAAGTTTGGCAGATTATTCTTCCCAAACTACAAGAAGTTATCTCGGACAGGCGATCACGACGTGCAATGTTTGAAGACTTCTTTTCTAGTGACCCTGAATGCACATGCGATGAATGTATCGAAACCAACGTTTGGATCGGCGAAGATGATTACAGTGACTATGACGACGACGACGACGACGATTGTTCTGGCACAGCTCCTGTTTCCTTGTCCAACACGCTCTCGGCAATAAAGTTAGGACTGTGGGGCTGAATCACGACCTGCTCTACTGTATAAGGCCTCTCGAATTCTTTATGCGTTTACTACTTATCGGACTCCAGTTCCCAATCCTTTCAACTTAATGCATCGCAATACGACTGAAGTTGGGAGGGCATTTCTTGATCGCATGAAATTGCCGTTTGAAAGACTGTCAACTCATGTATTTAACACCACAGCCCAATACATGTTGATAGTTCGACTTTTTTGAGATCATCTGTGCTTGTGTTACAAGTCGTTGAGGGAAAGTGTTTGGATATATGCGTGTTTCGGTGGTGGGACTAGGTGGGTTGAGAAGTTTTAGGCTGCAAGGGAATTTATTCTTTGCGCAAGCATAGTTTTCTTTGTAAGATGACGTTAAAATATAACATGGGCCTACCTTCAACTTATTGTCCTTGATTAGAACCACAACAATCGTAAATATATATTTCAGCAATTTCCTAGTCTGGCGAAAGAGAGAAACAGGCGTGGGAAAGTAGTCACGCGCGTCGCGTCGCGTCACATATTAACTAATAAAGCGACGAGCGCGTCGTTCGTGGGTGGTGGCTCTTGCTCCTGCTTGCCATGGTGAGCACACAGTATGCACTGTCTTAAGCAGATGCTAACACATCAATAGTCAAAACGAAAATCTGATGAGCTTGTCGAGCTTGACCCGGCTCTTTCCCGCGAAGATGACTTGAAGAGAGCAAGAACCGAAGCCAGTCTTGATCCGGGTGGCATTCCACCAAACGATGGTAAGTCTGCTTTCTTCTGGTACATAATGGCATCGCCTCGGACCTGAGAAGGGTGCCTTCCAGAAGCGATGGCGGCAAGACAGTCCGAGAATGATCAGACCTCGAATATACAAGAATACGTCTCAACGGGACAATCCGAGGTTCTGAAGACAAGAAAGGCAACGAAACCATCGAACAAGAAACCCACTGCAAAGAAGCGTAAGAACAGCAAGGTCGGGCGACTTGAAGCACTGATGCATATGCCCGTCGACATTTTCTGTGAAGTATGGTCTTCAAATTCTCTCTGTTTACAGAGACTCGTCAATGACTTGACCTCAGATCGCGAGTCACTTGAGTCCAGTAGACTTACTTAACATGTCGCGCGCATCCAAGCAACTCAGAGCGTTTTTGACTTCAAAGAATTCGAAGAGCATATGGCGAGCTGCTCGTAATGCTATCAAGCTACCAGAGTGTCCGTCTGACCTTAGCGAGATGCAATACGCCGATCTGCTCTTCTCCAAGGGCTGTTATGTTAGTATATTTCCGTAAAGCATTTATCTCATATTGACAATCCACAGTTGTGTGCTTCACGCCGTACGCAAGGACTACACTTTCGCCTTAGACTTCGTCTCTGCGCAAGTTGTCGAGACAAGAAGTGAGTTGATTTTATTTTTCGCGGATACGTTATATTAACATACTATTGTAACAGTCTGACATCGGGATTGGGCATTATGCGGGACCTCGGTTGTGTTGAAGAATTTCTAAACTTGCTCACAAATGACCACTTTAGCAGAAGTGAGTGCACGCTCAGCGCGAGCCTTGATCCTGCGTTACTCATATTCGAGTTAAGCGTGTACCGGCAAGTTGTACTATAACGTCAACGAGGCTCGGATTGTCTGGGATCACTTACGTTCTCTCACTTTTGACTCTAAATTCGACGAATGCAAGGACTTCGTGGCTGAGCGGGAACGAAAGGTAAAGAGTACTGTGGAGGTATGTTGCCTAATAGTTTTCTTAGGCAAGATACTGATCTTAATTTGCCTTTCACATATTCAATAGAACGCCCTGCTGGTTGAGGCATGGTTGAAGCGTCGAGAGTTTAACAAGCGTGAAGAGCAGAGAATGATTAGGATTGAAAGGGAACGAGCGTGCGTGCGAAGGACTACGACCCTTGGTGTTTTCTGACTAACCATCCGGTTTAGCATCATTAACAGGCTAAAAGAGATCGGTCATTCGCAGTCTGACCTTGATGGAAACTTCGATACGGTCTGCATGCATAACGAGTGGTTTTCACTCTTGCAGGACGACAGGCCTTTGACGGAACGCAGTTAGTACCCTAGTCCCAGTCCATGTCTGCTTATAATTTCTCACGGTTTCATTACAAGTTTGGAAGAATATCCTGCCTAAATTGCAGTTAGTTATCTCGGAGCGGCAAGTACGACGTGCAGCGCTTGAAAATATATTTCCTCACGGTCCCAACTGCGAATGCGATGACTGTATTGAAGACTCATTTTGCGAATGTCCACACTGTATGGAAGCAAATCTCTGGATCACCGAGGACGAGGACGAGGCTTATGACGAGGATGAAGATGACGGGACCCCCGTTCTCCCCGATCTTCCCGAACCCTCCAATCTTACCGAGTCGTTTTATACGATGGCAGCGGCACTGATAGATGAATACGAATTCTACCCATACTGAGCGAATTTCAGATCGACACTACTACTTATGACCTTTCACGTGCCTTATTTCGTCACTGCTTAGAACCTGGACAAATTCGGAATGATTTATCTTCAGTTAGTGTTTTTCGTCCTGGTACAGTCCATTGTGGTATGGGATAGACGTGAAACTGGTTTCCTTGGTCGCATGCAATTCTCGTTTGAAAGAATGATCGGTTCATGTACTTACTTCCGGAGTAGAGTAGCACTCCGCGATAAATCTTGGTAGTTCGAATGAAACTCAAATTGCACTTGTTCGTAGGACGTTCCCTCTGAGAAATATTCCAGATATATGCGCTTATATGCAGTCAGGCTGAGCATTTCCCGGAATGGGGAAACGCCCCACACACGCGTCGGGTCGGGTCGGGTCGCTGGCCTGTTTTCTGCCTCCATTCACCATGGCGAGTTTACTCCCCATCTGTATCCATCCTGCTATGATATTCTAACGAGTTAAGCAGGTAAAACGTAAGGCTGATGGCTCTATGGATGTGGAAGACGATCCGACCTGCTCCAGTGATGATTGCATGAAGACAGCGAAACTTGAGGAGCATCGTAAGCCGGATGGCCTCACGGATAACAGTGGTCAGTGTTCTTTATTCTACCGTGGAAGCGTGCAAGCTAAGAGCATAGTTGCAGAAGAACACGAGAGTAGCAAGGTTGGACGACTCAGACCTCTTTTGGACATGCCGATTAAGATCTTCTGTGAAGTACACTTTCGTGTCATTCTGTTTCTCCTACGCAGCTTGTACTGACAAGACGTGTCAATATTTTCTAGATTGCTAGCCACCTAACTCCATTGGACTTACGCGAACTGGCTGGTTCATTTAAAGCCTTACGTTTCTGACTTCGAATTCTTTGAAACCTATGTGGCAAGCAGCTTGTGATGCTATTGGAATGCCTGAATGTCCACTGGACCTCAGTGAAATGCAATATGCTAAACTAATATTTGGCAAAGGCTGTAACGTTAATAACTCTCGTCCCCATATTGTGATCATAATTGACCCTTGGTTTTTAGTATTGTGACAGGCGAGATTGGGTGCTGTTCCTTCAATTTAGATTGCGTCTCTGTTGCCTTTGCCAGGAAGAGAAGTTAGGCATTTCTACAATATATTGTATGAATGCTGAATTGATCTTTGGTAGCCTTGTAGAGAAATATGTTATAACCTTGCACCATGACTATAACAACGAACTTCTTACATTACTTCCAAGCGCACCTCCTTATACGCAAACTTTTACCTGATCAGAACTCTTTATTTCAGGCTACTTTGCAAGCTGGATCAGCAACACGTACTATGAACATGCGAAAGCTGCGGCAGTCTGGGCACAATTAAAATCTCTCGGTGCCAACTCTTCCGAGCGTGCAGAATTTGTGGTTGAAAGGCAGCGGAAGGTCGCAATGAACAGATTAGTATGTTAACATATATTCTGCCACCATTTTCCCGCCGCTTTTTGAAACATTAATTGCTTACCAAAGTTTACAGTGGTCAGATAAAGTCAAAGCATGGATTGATGAGAAACGGAGGCAAGAGTAAACGTGTGGTGTAGCATCAAAGAGGAAAGGACAAGCGCGTAAGTGCGGTACCGCACTGATCCGATCTCCTGACGTAACTATGAGCTACAGTGTGATAAAGAGACTCGAACTGATTGGATACGCAAAACCTGACTTCGACTCTGCTTTTGATACTGAAAAAACGAAGGAGGACTGGTACGCCCTCCTCGAGATGACTGAGCCGCTGAACGAACGCAGTGGGTTTTCCAGTTTGTTCGTTCTTGCCTGGACACTCATTAGCACCCATTGAAATTGTAAGTCTGGAAGAAGTTCTTTCCCGAATTTCAAGAGATTATCCAGAGGAGACGCGATCGGCGCAAGCTCCTCGAAGAACGCTTTCCTCATGGGCTATATTGCGACTGTGACAACTCTATCTGATTATCCTCGAAACTGCTGGTGCTCTGGATGCGCTGAAATATTATACAAATATGGTGACCCCTACAGAGACGACGATTGCGAATGCTCAGTGTGCTTCGACTCGTTGCAGGAATATAAAATATCCCAATATAGAGGCAAGGATCACGACTCCACTGCTTGCAACAATGGAGACTCCTGTGATCATGATTGAAGTTGTACCCATTAGAGAGGGGTGGAATAAGTAGTAGCAATATCCAATGAACTCTTTGTACACTTTTACTTTTATCAGGCACTGAGCGTTTCTTTCCTACACAGTTTTCGGCGAATGCTCTGATTTTACCTTGATACATGTAACATATGTAGTTGACCGTTTTCTTGGCCGCTCGAGCTGTGTCAATTATGATGCAGTGTAATGCAAATACTTACTCTTAGAACAATGCAAGATACGTTGTAGTAGCATTCAGTATGCAATTCTTTGAAAGCAAAAGCTTCTGATATGCCTTATCGTCAAGCAGCAGACACAAATCACATCTTGAATCAAGCATCAGTCAAAACGTAGCATGTCAGTCAGTTCCCAGTCAGCAATAAGAAAATGCAGCAAATCCTGTCCAAAGACGCCTATCCTCTCCAATCTTTCCAATCTCCTCGAGTCATTCTACATGATGGCAACAGTCATGATAAACGAATACGAAGTCTTCTCAGACAGAGCGAATTTCAGAACCGCTGCACCGTTTAACTTTTCGCGTGTTTTATATCATCGCGGCTTAGACTCTGGATTACTTCGGACAGGAGGAGTTGTGGCAACCTTGTACTATTGCACCCATTTGAGATCAATGGACTCTGTTATGATTCGTGGTCGAACCGCTGTCTAATGGCACCCTAAATGAAATGTGAGTTAAAGCAATATCGGTACGCCGCTCGTTCATAGTCGTCGGGTAGGAATCAAATCAAATACTTTCACTAGAAGTCAAAACAAACTCATTCATTGCTTCGTGTATGCACGAAGAAAAAATGTAAACAGTCAACTGTACATACGCTACTTGCAGTCGGCGTCACAACGTACGTCGTACAGCAATCGTAGCGATGTGATTTTGCATATGGCAATTCAAGCTGTAGAATCCTGGTACTTTGAACAAGCATCTAAGAGTTTGATCCATCTACCATTCGCACAGTCGGTCATCTCCTTTTCGAACTCATCTCCAAGACACATCTTAATCACGATGAGAGCAGAAGCGACGTGGAAGTCAAAGAAGGTCCAATTCGGACCTGCGAAGAAGGGCGTATCATCGTTTCGAGTTGGGTCGTCCTTGGCGAAGGAAGCAAGTTTCTCGAATCCCTGACGGACTTTCTTCCATGTTTCCTCTCTGTCTTTGCCTCTTGGTTCCATCTCTTCGATTGTCTTACCCTGGGTAGCTTCATAGAGTCGGCGAAATATGGCTCCTGACCCTTCTGTCTGGAGTGCTGCAGCTTCGGTCAACATCAATGAGAAGATGGTCCAAAAGACGCTATCGAAGAAATAGTCGAATGCCATCATCTGGAATGCATGCGTATGGGGTGGGAAAAGAGCCAGTTCGGGGTTGGGAGATGGGTAGGTACGTTCGAGATACGAGATAATGATACGTGAGTCGGTGAGTTTGACTGGATTTTCTTTGTCGGTAAGGTCGATTATGGCGGGGACGGTGTATTTTGGGGAACCGTCAGGATGTTTTTCGATTGATGGGATGCCATTGGAGATGTGTGATTGGGCGATGTCGGGTCCGTCGAGCCAGACTGTTTGGTAAGTGAGCTGTTTGTAATTGAGCACAAGCCTATTTATAGCGTGGGGTAAAGAATTGAAAGAGTGATGAGTGGAAAGTAAGACGAGAAATGAGATAAGTTCATGGTAAACGTACCGGAGTCTCCAAGTGTTGATAGACGTTGAGACACCGGGAAGACGAGACTTGGCGTCGTAGAATATGATGTTTGTTTTCGTCATGTTTATTCTTTTCTATGTTGGTGGTACGAAATCGTCCTCTGGCCCTCCGTCTTTAAATACGTTGGAAGAGCTTACCGATATCGAGATAGCAACGGCCCCGTATCCCTTGTGACCGCTCCAAGTCAAATCGTTAATCAGCAAGTCAACATCAACCGAATCTCAGCTATTTGTTTCTAGCTGAGAGAGTCATAACCGATCGTCGTGCGACAGGTGCAGTGGAAGCCTATCGGAGAACTGGCTCTTGCTTCGTTCATTGCTGTGCCTGTGAAGATATTCGAGTCATTACGAGCGGCCTTTATTACAGTGTCACGGGTGTGTTCACTTTTGACGTACGAGAATCAGAATCATAACGGCTGTCAGACTAGTCAGTTGGGCATTTATTTCCAACTGCAATGGATTTGCGTTTTACATTCCAGTCCAGGTGACGATCGACGCTCAGCAAAGATTTATTCTGACTCCACCTCGTTTGTCCTCGTCCTAAAGTGAAGAAGGCAGGAGACGATCAATGACTCGGCACCGAAATAAATTGTATGGAATACATAGTCACAACTGAACTCTACAATGCATGTCAGTTAGCCTTACAAAAGTTAATATGTCAATTATCCGTGGGGACTGCTGTGTCAACCCGTAAGTTCTCCACTAACCATGCTGTGCTGGTACCGCCGATTCTAAAGTCTTAGTATGCCAGATGTCTCATACAGGTTGATGGTACGAAGAATATACACCAGCTCTACTATTGCATGGATGTAAAAAAGACCGAAGGCGAGCAAGGAGCTCGCTCGGTTTTCTGAACAAAAAGATCCGAACTTTGGGGTGATTAGCTTATGTAATGTAGTCTCGACCATTTCTGGCAAATATTTATCCTTGATTGGTATTCATTTCATACAAACTTGACTGATTGACACAATTATTTGAACTACTGTACCGCTACTCGTACAGGGAATTATTTTTTATAACACATGCTCTTATATGTGACAATGATAATAATAGAATACATTTGCGAGATTATGATTGTGTTCTGTTTGTGAAGAGTACAAAGACCCACGTGAACTCGGGGGCACGTCCCGAAAGTCCTAACGAACGCATTTGCCGCATCGCTTGCTCCTCCTCAACGACTGCCTTGCAGTTGTACTGCTATCTGACAGTGCTGGGTGGCAGGTTGGAAGACAGCTACTGTCATTACTGACGGAAACTGTGGGGATTCGAGGACAACTAACGTTGGCGGCTCAGACCATATAGGATGGACTTCTCGTCTCTTTCGTACATGGCGAACCCGGATCCATCGTCGTCAGCTTTCCCCACCTTCGCGGAAGAAGACTTCGACCTAGAAATCTTATTCTCACAACCCGCGACATCTGGGAGTCAAGGTGAACTTTGTGACAGTGTGGGGCCTTCTGGATCTGCAAACCATGACACGACTTTCGACAGTCTTTTCGACTTTGGGCGGATGGACGCATTTGCCGTCGATACGAATCAAGCGGATTATTCTCTTCTTGGCCGGCTTGATATAGATTCTCGTATTGGTGCTCCGGAATTAGGCATAGATTTGGTTCCGTCGACCGAGGTCGATCACTCTGCTTCGATATTCACCGAAGGTCACATCTTCGACTTCGGGCCATTCGATCCTACTTGTTCCTCCGATAATCGAGATTCTTTCGACACTCAGCTTGTGAATGGTTCTTCGAATGTCCAGTTGACAGACGAGCATGCAACGTTTCAGAATGCAGGTGGCGAAAACACGAATAACCATTATTCGAATGCTACAAGCTCAGAGTCAAATTCAACACAACCCTTGATATTCGATTTCCCGCAGTGCGAGTCTCCCTTACAGCGTCACTCTCCTACACCCCCTGCAAACGGTTCGCAAGCTCCTTCTGAAGCTGCGACGACGCAGGGTCCCGAAGCTGCGTCTCTGGACGAGCCAACTCCTGCATCGACATCACAGCAACCTCGAAAATCCCGAGAAAAGGAAAAGTCAGGATCAAATTCAGAGCCATCCTTTCGAAGAGGCTTCCCGGGCTATCCTGTCGTGGATGCAAATGGTGTGCCGTTTCCGGAGGTCCTTAGGGCTATGGACTCATCCGCACCTGTGGAAGATCCGAGCTCCAGCGCAAGTGCTGGGTCGGTTCGTACGCGGCATGCTCGTCTACGACATACACGTTCGCATCATACTGCAACAATGCTGGCCAAGAAAGCAAACGAAAAAGCTGTTAAAGAGAGGTCTAGGCCGGAGAGGAATCCCTGGCGTGTGACCGTCGCTCCAGCTCCCGCACATGTTCCTAGTGAGCTTCAAACTGCGTCTGCTAGTGGATCTGGTGAAGCACAGCCAAGTTCAACCAACGGCACTGGTACGAAAATACCCAGGAGACGGAAAAAGACGTTTTACCACGTGGACATATCTCCGTTAGGATCGAAAGAGAGGCCGTTAGTAATCGAAGATGACCCAGAACCAGCATATAAAAAGCGGACTCCGCCACCGAAACGGAGGAAGAAGAAGAACGAGATTACGAGTGATAATCATTCCGAGATGGGTTGGGTTTTTGCAAGACTTCGCGAGCCTGAATCCAGTCAATTTGGATGGGCGATTGCGGCAATACATGTGAGTTACTACTATACTTTCCTTCTTTCACAACTACCGATATACTGACGTTAAATACTGGTCGATTACGATTTTGCTTAGGAACCACGTGCAAGCTCGTACCATGTATTATCTGGTCCGCACATCGGGCAAGTAAGGACAGTGCGTGATAACGACCGGATAAAATACTCTCAAGAGACTATGGAAGAGCTCAAGAAGAACTATCAGGAGGCTTGTGAGCGCGCAGGGACGTCTAGAGTAAAAGCTGAGAAGGTTTATGATGCCATCCCAGAAGACGTGGATATCCATGCGCTCGTGAGGGGCAGCAGTGTACACAGTGTGGGTTTAGCGACGCGGGGTGTTTTTACATTCAATGGAAGCTAATTGTTGGACAATACCAAAGTTTTTGCTTTTCTTGATTTCGATGTTTTTATCTTGTAATATGGATGGATGAACATACTGTCCCTTCGTTCTCTTGCCTCCCGCGTGCCAATGGACGTTCGACTATTTCACGATTTTCTTTGCAACGCTTCTTCCCAAATCATCAAAATATGCATATACTATGGATCTATTTTCTTCGCTACCATATTATAAATATTCTAGTAAATGTAAGTATTTATCATCTCAGTGTGATTATGACGTAATAAGTCGGAGTTTAAACTACTACTCTAGCGCGACGCGTCGCGTCGCGTGATGCCAATCTACCTGTCAGTCTCCTCAATTTCACTACTACTAGTACTACACCAAGCAGGCAAAGCACAGTTTACTTGCTCCGAGTGTTTCAACCCCACGTATATCTATTCTCTTCTACTCTATCTGCTGAAAGGATTCTGTCTGATATCAAGCTTGCTTGTTTCTCTGCTCTGCTGGTTCTCGCGCTCTTGCAGGACAGGATCGGCACCGAATACGGTAGGAAAAGTATCGATGAAAGTTATCGCACTACGGCGATAACTGAACAAAAATAAGAAGTTATGGAAACTCTCTCGCGAAGTCCGCATGTGCCTTCGATGAGCATATCAACAAGCGGGAGGGACTCTCCGCTCGTGTTTGCTCCGAATAGCGAGTCGGAGGAGTGGATTCGCGAATGGCAGTCTATAGAGGCAAAGGGTGAGTAGGGCTCGTCATCTTTGTCGATTATGGCAGTTGAAAAGAAGTGCTATTGTATAGAGCTTATCGATAGTCAGATTACAGCTATAGACACAGAAACGTCTGTTGAGGATGCTTGCGACGTAGATGCTCTTTTAACCTTTCCTATCGCTTTCTGTCCCTACACCTAATATTCTATTATAGGACCTATTGTCAAATGACATGTCTTGTATTGCGATTAAAGATCCGTCGGGCGCATCGGTGTCATCACCTTTTCTCGGTCTTTTCGATGTGTGTTATTTTACAAGCTATTTTCCTGTACGCTAATTTCCAATTCACCCAAACCAGTATGCAGACGTGAACGCCTTCCTCACTCTTGCTGCATTACAACATATGAAATCAGCAGACGAACTACATGATACTCCACGTGCCGAAGAGATCGTGAAGGCTGCGAAGGCGGGAAAAGTTCCCGTTCGGCTTGTCAGCAGTGCGTCTATGCGATGAGCTTGCCAAGAGAAATTTCTCGCGCGCTGACTGTACGCCAGACTTGTCGGAAAAGGATCCACTCGAGGTGTTGCCGGATACTGCAACTCTCGTTGATCTGCTGAGGGTCTTTGCCACGGGCATTCATCGAAGTATATATATATGTGCCTTCGTCATTCTTCATTCTGTGTGCTTATTTATTTGATCAGTCCTGATCCGATCAAGCACCACGGATTCACCCAACCAAAAATACCTCGGCTTCGTCACCGACCGCTCTCTCCTTGCTTACTTCCATGCACACGCACAATCGAGTGCACCACTGAGCCGGTTCCTTGCAAATGCCCTGCATTCACTCGCGTTGCCCTCTATTAGCCTGCGTGCTGCAGTCGTATCATGCACCGCGAGTGCGCGTGTGCTAGACGCGATGGAAAGGATGAGTGAGCAGGGCGTAAGCAGCATAGCAGTCGTTGAGGATACGCCTGCGACGGGTCCTGGCCAAATGACCCTTTTGAGTGCGGTTAGTGTGACGGATATCGGAAAGGTGCGTCGAGAGTATTTTTCTTATTGATGTAGCTAACAATATTCGTATAGCTCGTGGTCCCGGCACAGAGTAATCAGATATTACAAATGTCTCTTCAGCAGTTCGTTGCTCAAATTAAGGTTCGATCCCTCATTTCCCTCGTAGTCGGATGCATCTGACCGTTGACTGTGTATTCTATTGTAGGAACCAGATGGTTCGATTATGGAAACCGTTATCGCTATTTATTTTTAATACAAAGAGCAAGTACTGAGTAGAAATCCGAACGGAATACAAGGAACGTCACATGATGTAAGACAAGATTGGAGGTACAAGTCCGAGCAAATTTGGGTGACGTAAGGCATGAATAAGATAGGCAAAATAAGAATCCCCCCAGACACTGTTGATTTGGAATATGTATAGGTAAGCAAAATAAATTTGCTAATTTTACTATTTATTACTAGTTTTGGACAGTACATTGATATCAATATGCAGTATTGTACTATTTAGCCTCTAAGCCACCAAAAATCTACTTGTACATTATAATACATGGACGTCAAAGAAATAGCAGAATATAGGTTACACTATCTATATCTAAAGTAGGAATATGCAAAACTACAAGTTAAAGACTTTCTGTTGTACAAATGAGTTGCTGGCCCAGTATTCAATCGTTGTTTCCTGCAAGTCAAATGACTACAGCAAGTATATGTTAGACGGGCATGAACAAACCACAGGAGGCACTTACTTCTGTCTCATCATTATATATGATATGTACACTCCCAAGCTTTCGCCCTCTAGCATTGCTGTACCGGACAAGGAGATGATTGCGAGCATCCTCATACATGGATGGATTCACATGCACACCACCTCTAGATGAACAGAATACAATGAGAAATAGAATGACAAAAGAAAATCCGTACGCACTGAATAACCGCCACCCTAATTGCCAAGAACCGACCTGGATCCCTCAGCTTAAGTTCGTGGGCTATTGCAATTGCCGCCGTTTCGCATTTAGAACGCATCTCGGATTGTTTCTTTGTATATGTCGTTGACGGATTCCATTCTAGACGAATTTTTTTGGAGAACGGCTGAGAATTTGGACTATGGCAAGGCTTTGCCAGGGCAGGACCAGCAGCCGACAACGAGCGAGCCATAGAACAGTGGCAGGCAAGTCATACGGCATACTGCTACTGTGATTTGGCAGATTAGGAGGCGCAGCTCCTCGTTTGCTGTGCTCCAAGGTAACGAGCGTTAAAGAGCGCGTCAGTATATCCGGCGGCACCTTGCAGAAACGTATACTATGGATCACCAGTCGATCATCAACAGATCAGTAGTGGTACTATGCTTGTAATAAATATCGTGCTTACTCGTTTCGGTCCAAGCTTGACAATCCATGCATCCACTCTCCTCAGCCGCTGTGCTCGGGCCAGTCTTTAACATCCTATCCCGGTCCTGTCCTTTAATTGCAGGTGAGGTATCACCTCGTTCTCCCGATCAAGGGTGTGCTGAACGTAGCAATATTGCCTGTGGTGCTGAAGGTGGCGGAAGAGGCTCCTATAGGAGTGCTTGTTGACGAAGGTTCGTTCTCGCGCGCACAATCCGGAGGCTGATACTAGCAGTTCTTGTCTTTCAACGAATCATCGCGACGTTCACAGAAGACGACGTTACTGCTTTTCACTTGCGGCTCGTTCTCCTGAGCATCCCACTCTTCTCCGTCGACGATCGGCCTCTCGATTCGGTTCACGGCTAGCATCTTACTCTGAAGTCTTCAGGGTTCACTCTTGTTGGTGTGAGGAACATTTTGCGCTTTGTTAAGACTCTGTGTCCAAATGTAGTAGAAATGACCTTAGGTATTATATCCGATCTACTTACCTCGTCGTCAGGAGTCCTTCTCTGCTTTCTTAGGTCGCATCCGCTTGAAACGAGTATGTGTCCGATGACAAGGGTCATTGTCCGAGTGAGAATGTAGGCAGGGCATTTTCAGAGGGAATCTCTGGTTCCTTTGAAGCCACTGCTTTGCGTTCGCGTTCTGTTCTTCGCCACGGTCGCTTCTGTTTCGGTCACTCTCACGCGTAGACGCGCCTGTTCGCGATCACGTTCCCGCATCCAGTCACACTTTCTTGGTCAGCATCACGCAGAATCGGTCTCGACCAGAGTGATGTCATGGTCATCACAATGGGTGGCACTGCTACGTTCTGCTCTTGAAGGCCGTCTGCTAACCTTGCCCGCCCCAATATCATGCTTAGCACGATCTCGCTTAGCGTCGCCGCTTGCTCTACTATCCACACTAACGTTCCTTGTGCCTGGCCGTGATGCAGGTGATAAAGAACGACGTGCCGGAGAATCGACTGCATTAACTCGATGTTCGCGTGGTCTCTGTGGCAACTTTTCACTGTGACGTAAGTTCCGCAATTCCTGGGCATGGGCCGATGGTTTGGTGAGCCCGGGTCTCGGTCATGATATTGTGGAGATGATCGGGGTGACTCCTTCAAGCCAGCACCAGTACCGACTTTTGCAGCAAGAAGGTATGAATGCTATATACTGGAGCATCATAATAGCGGAAACTTACCATGTGAGAACCAATGGTCCCTCTCGCGATCCAATCGGCCACCTTTCTCCGCTGTGTAGCTGTAAACAGACTCTTGTGCAGCCTTTTCTTGTCGAAGCTTTGAAATTGTTGCTAAATATCGATCGTATTGAACCCGGAGGCTACCACTATATGCTCTGGCGGATCTGTCGGATGAGCTTTCAGCCTGGCAAGCCTTGGAATACATTACATCACTCGTTGCACGAACGTTTTTTCCACTTCAGAATATTTTTCCTTAGGGTAATAAAGATAGTAGCTAGACATTTGCCAAAAGGAGAGGTAAAAGCTGGGCCTGATAGTGGTGTGAGTAACCCTCAGTATTAAGGACAGTAATCATCACTAACCCGGTGATGTCGAAAGTATTACCGGGAGCAGTTTGTTTGCAGTCGTGGAATAGTGCTTGTAGCTCGGGCACTCATGGTTCCTGTTGTTATCGTTAGATACCACGGAGAATTATTCTTCACTTGCGTATCTTACTTTGGGAGCAGGATTTTCTTTAGCCTTCACTTCCGCGGTCAGTACCTCCTTATTTTCACCACGCTCTCCTGGTTTTTGTTCCACCGTGTCCAACTCCATTTTCTCAGACTCTGCGGGACCGTTTGGTTCTGGCTTGACTTTCACTAACGGGGCGACCTTCACAGTGTATTTTCCATAGGAGCTGTCGAATTACTGATCGGTTTCCGTTTCGCCGTCAAAGCAGCTTTCAGCCGTTTTTCGGTTGCTTCCTCACTGTACCAAGCCTTGGCGTGTCCCTGATAATATCTTCAGTGCATATAAATCGCAAAGAAAAGAAGTGTACCCACTGTTATGGCATCATTAAGTATTGGATGATAGATTTGCATTGCAATGCGTGGGCTGACATCATACCGACCGACATGTATGCCAACAAATCTCATCAATGGCTCGATAATATGATATCATTAGCTTCTTCATAAACAGAAACCCACGCCGACCATTGCGGGAAGAATACGAAATCTTGAGCGTGCATGCTTGGCGGAATGAGAGCGCAAAGTGTTAACTGTGAGCTACGGACGGGCACGACAAGTACGCCGGGAGCCGCGTAACGAGACATAATTGAGTGCATCTGCAGTGGAAACATTGCCCAAAGTGTGCAGCGATCGACATGGTCAATGATGTCTTGAGGGATACAATAGCATCCAGTATGCCATCCAGCCGGGGTTTGACCATCAACGGTGCGGCTGAACACAACTGATTTCAGTACAAAGACGCAAGCTCCTTTCTTAAGTTTCACCAACCGCTGGTTGCCCTCAGCGAGCCAGACGACACATTTCTCGCTATGCTCATGCTTAAGGAGCTTGGCCTCTTCTGCCAAAAACTCCAGCAGTTCTAAGTCATGGATAAGCTCGATTTCTTGATTGGAAGTCTTTTTCTTTGGATCATATCCATCGAGCAATTCAGGTTCTGTAGTCTCGTGAGGTACTATTATTTTTAGCCAGAAGGGTAATTGCTCACCAATGAACTGGACGGCAGCACGAGCGAGGATGTCCTTCTCGTACTTGTCACAGTCATCCTTGTCGTCAACAGGCTCCCTACTCTTGCTATCGACGCATCTAACATAAAGAGAGTCATTTGGAAGCTTACCATCGAAGTGCTTGATCTATCCCATCATCCAAGCCATCTCAATGCATCCTTCAATAGTGAAATTACCCCTCATCTCCATTTCCCAGCGCGTACGGGAGCTTCCCCAAGGGCCAACCTCACCGTGATCAGTGACGACGACCTCCTTCTCAAGATCAATAACCCCTCCACCCCTAACTTAGAAATCTCACTAAGGGCATCTGACGACTCGATTCGAATTCGAAGTTAGCCCGAGGCGTAACAGTAACCGTTTGGAGTACACGTCCTGCTCCACCGTCCTTTACGATCGTAAAATCGGCCGAGTTGTCGGGAATAATGGCTCGCCTCAGCTCAGCTTGCTTATTAAGTGTTAAACGGATATACGTTGTGATTTCCGCAAGGTCAGGTAAGCGGTCTATGCCTCCATTTAGGTCTGCCCAGATGGACTCAACTTGTGTAATGCTAATAGAAGATGGTGCATGAGTCCGAGGATATTAAACCCCGTCTCCTTCTCCGAGAACGTCAGGGTAAACGTCTGCAGAGAAAATCGAAAAATCAATACAGGCCTTCATTCGGAGTCGCTGCCTGAGCTATCCGAGGAACTATCATCGGAGTAATGCTCACTGTCGTCCTCGTGTTTTACACCAGAGCTGACAACTGCATTTTTGTCAAACATCTTCATCCTCTCCTCTAGCTGGCGAAGCTTCTCGACCTCGACGTCTTCATCCATACTCTTCCGCTTCAAAACGCCTGTACTTGTTCAAGGCCACCTGGTAGTGTTTGCCTTCAACGTCCGGATTACAAAATTGTACAGCTTAAGCAGTGCTGGTGCAGAAAGTTGGTCAGTGTTGATCTCGATCTCTTCAGAACTCCGTAAAACCGATGAGCATTCATCAGAGTATGGGGAGTCAATGTACATACATCGCGAGTTTCTGGAACACCTCCGTGGATGATGCTGATCACTCGTCCCAACTTTTCGCCTTCAAGTTTTTAAATGGTCTTGCTCAGGTCCTTTTTCTGGTCAAAGGACAAGACGTCATGTCAGAGATTTGGGCCTTCCTTGAACTCTTCTTCTTGGGCGCCAGTTTGGCTGGCCTATTGCTTGGCTTGGAAGCCGACGCAACGGATGGTGAAGTGTGCTTCGGAGGCCGCTTTTCTTCCTTTACTTTCTCCTTCGTTTGATTATTTAGTGCTGCCAAATTCCCTTTCATTGTCTCAATCTGGGCCGCCATGTCAGCAATAGCACCTAACGAGTGAATCTAAAACACTGCAAGACGTTAGACAAACAATTAGACACTCACGAATGAGATCGTCATCGCTGTCTTCGTCCTCGCCCTCGTCTTCGCTTGGTGCCTTCAGGGGCGGGAGCTGGAACCATTTCTCTTCAAGGACACGCTGGATTTCAACCCTGGCATCAAGTACGGCTGTGCCAGCCGATTGAACGCTATGCAGTTTCTAATCATGACAATGAAATCTTCTGTGAACCCGACTGACTTCGGATATTCCCCGTTATCGAGCTTCTTCCTCATCGTACAGAGAACCATAGGCTTTTTCACGATTTTGGGGTAATTGGGAATCCCGAGTTTTACAGGATCTACTTTGTGTCAGAATTATGACGCCATTCATTCACTGGATCACTCACCAACCAGCTCATAGAATGGATTAGCAATAGTAACCAGTGATTTTGTGTAAATCCGTGATGATCTTACCACAATATCTTAACTGTTCCTCTGTCCCGTCATCCGCCTTTGCTTTCCTCACCGACTGCATACTTTTCGGTGACTCAGCATAGGGCAAATACTTCGGAGGAGGAGGGTGTATTTCACACTTTGGTCTAGCTGACTCACTGGTATCAGACCTGCGAATTGTAGGAGGAGAAGTGGAAGGTCGGCGAGCAGCAAGAGCCCTTTTCACAGGAGGGGGAGTCACAATCCCATTCGTCTCTGCAACGGGCAACCCGCCTGACAGTGCTGGCGTTGCCTGCTCAGCCATTCGAACATCCTCCAGTAGTTGCTCGATTGGCAGCGTCAGAGTGCCCTTGGATAGTGCTGGAGGTCCACCGACAAGGTCCTTTATTGACTTGGACAATCGATGCTCCTCGTCAACTTCTGAGTGATATTGACACAAAGTGTATCGACAGCCTTAAGCGGCTCGTCTACAATACTAGCCGCAGGCACAGCAGATGATGCCGGAATGGCAGCAGGAGCTGCGGTGATCGCGGGTGCCGCTGATTCGGATGGCCCTGCAGGTGCGTCTGCAACTTCGTCTTCGAACTCACAGCAGATCTCCTTCGTGTTCTTTAAGTGGCAAAGAATGGCACGGACGTGACTAATCGACTCGTCCTGCGTTTCGTATTTCGGTTTGAGCGTACGAACGGCCATATCGGTAAGCATAGGGCTTGGCCACTTACACTGAAGCGCCCGAAGTTGAAATGCGTGCAAAGAATATCCTGAGTTTCAATCCTACGCACGGGGGATGCAAAGTGGTATGCTAGTAGTTCAACGAGAACCGTGTATGCGGTACGCTGGCGATGCTCATCATCGGACCAGTTGTCCTTTTTGAAGATCTTGTCTAGGTGCGGAGAAGACGTCTAGTCATAGATCATCTGAGCATACTCGCGAGAAACCTCAAATGGGTTGCATTAGGAACATAGTGCCGACAAGTATATGCCAATTGATCAATAAAACGTTTGCCTTCTTCGAGAGATCTAGAATTGCGTGAGCTCAAAGCCAGTACGAAACGAAGTTAATGCTCGCATTCACGGAATTGCATGACTCCAGCCCACAGATACCGGGAATAGAAGGGTACATCGATACTGGGAAGGGGAATGGCAGCAAAGCCCCTCTCGAGCTTGATGCGTCCTTGTGCCGCCTTCTGTCCTTGAGCTTTCCAGAAGCAGGACTTGATGATCTCCCATTTCTTTCACTTGGCCAACAGTGAACTTCTCAGTAAGCTAGAAAAAAACACCATCTGTAAACATTAAGATCGGAAACCCCTGCAGGATGCATACCTTTGCAATGTCAACTTTCTCTGCCTTCAAATTGTTCAGACGTTTGTGAGCGACTGAAGCGTGACCAACTCTCCAGTGCAGACATACAGTTGACTCTGTTGTATAGATATGAATCGAAGTTCTGCAGGCATTCATAAAGATATACCTTGACGTTGTAATTTAACAAAATTTTCAGCAAGTTTGTCTGTAGTCAACCACCTCACGTGCCGCGTTGTAAAGGTTTATAAACGACTCAGAGTCTCAGACTCAGGTTGAGGAGCCTTTGAGGACAGATAATACAAGATACTCATTCTGTCATGGTACCTTGTAGTAAAGAGATGATATGTGGCGACAAGAAAGCACAATAGTTATAGGAAGACTATAGACGCTCATAGAAGAATGTGTATGCTGTGGCCTGTCTGATTTCCGCAGTCATGCACGCCATATATTACATAATGCAAAAGACTCATTCTGACAAGCAAATATTTGAAAGTTGAGCTAACAGTTGAGAAGAGCTCAAAGAACAACTCAATTCCTAAAATTAATGTGTAAGTTCTTGTTACCCCCATTCTCTAACATATTTCTAAGAGACTTCTTGTTAGGTACACTAAATTACAACTGAAACTATAGTATAATTAGATTTGTACTAATAGAATATACAAAATATATATTAGATCTGACTTGTAGAAAAAGCTGAATCAGTCTAAGTAAACCCAGTTATAATTTTTGGTATGAATATTAGCTTTATCTTATAAGTATAAAGATTTGTATATAAAAGTTATAAAGGAGAAGATTAGTAAATTACTTAACAGAAATTTTTACAAAGTGTTAATTCAATAAGAAATATACTGTTTATGTATATTTACAAACTTTTATAAAGATTAAGTAAGAATTACTGCTACTTGCATAATTTCTTAGAATGGCAATATATCACATGATTTGTGTTGCAAGATGTTCACTTTAACTAAAACTCAAAAGATTTGTAGATTACTCCTTACAAGTGTTATTTTATATGTATGTAAAGTATTTAAAAATTATATTTTTACTGTTATAGTATATATCTGTAAAAAAAATAGAGATAAAATAAATACTTGGAATTATATAAGGAGAACTGTACTTTTTTGATGATTCTCATAATACCTTTTCTAAACATGTAAAAGCTGTAGCATTTGCAATTGGTCACCAAAAATTATAATTAAGTACTGTAAATTACTATTATTACTTGTAGAATGTTATACTATTATATTATAAGAATTGGTGGGCTATTTGAACTAATATTTTACAAGTTTGAGAATGGAACAGTAAGAATAACAATTATTTCAGACATAATAATTCTACAGTACATACTATTAACTGTTATAAATTATGTACAGAGTCTTAAAATTATTGTTATTATATTTGGGATCTCTTATTATAATATTATTGGGATTGGTGGGCTGGTTATTTTAATTATTTACATTTATATAAGATGAGTCTTAGACTTATATGTTATTATTTGTATTATCACATTCTGAAATTGCACATAGTCAAATGTTATTCATTCCAAGAAGTTATAGGCA